ACAAAAGCATAAACTTTAAATGTGTGTATGAGTTCTTTCTTTCATCTGCACCTGACACTAAAATTCATTAAAGAGATCTAAGACATGCCTCTTAAAGAACCTAACGGCCTAGTAAGAATATTCTCTTTGAACTCTTAACTTAAATACCAATAAGAACAGAGAAGACAACATAACTCTAAAGAATAACACCAATAATAAATTCATTAAAGAGATCTAAGAACTTCCTATTAACTCACCGGTAGGCATATTAAGAATATTATCTTTTAACTGCATTCTAAAATTTGACGTACATACTTTCTTTCCTCTACTTGCTCTATAGAAAGCAAGGGAAACCCCTCCCAGAGAGTCGAGTTTTGAAAAGCATAAAAAATCACTTTTTCAAGAATAAACCAAAGTTTCAAAACTCATTATCAAGCATTGAAAAATCAATCCTAAGTCATAGAAACACATCTAATGATCTAACATTGTTATAAAAGTTCAATTCACAAATGGATCAAACAAAACAAGTTATATGTGGTTTGGGCATTTCATAGCACTTGGTGGGCGTACATTCAAACAACTTAAACTCATACATATCGATCCCACCAATGCAACTGAACTCACACACACAATCTCATGCACGTTTACTTTGATACAATTGCACAAATCAAGCCACGCTCTTCTCCTAAATTGGCCAAATTCACTACCACATTCAAGTATATTTTCAAACCATTTAAAGGTAGCGGTTTATAAGAAAATGACAAAGAATGCTAGAATCCTTACCTTGAATTGCTTGAAGACATGATGAAGTGTCAAAGACTCAAGAAAAATTCGAAAGGTTGGTTAAAATAAAAGATTTGGGAAGTTGGGTGAAAATTATTGAAAGTGGGGTGAAAATGGGGTGTTTGGAAATGAAAAATTGGCAGGTATGGGGGAAAATGAGGGTTATGCCCGGGATCTGGACTTTTGTGGCCGCAGACAAGTTCACGTGCTAGGCTATCTAGATCGCGGTGACGAATTTGTGCGGAGGACAGAAGATTGTATGCTCAGGAAAATAGACTACAGTGCGAACTTATGTTATGTGGCCGCGATATTTGACTAGGCAGGCAAATGGCAAATTTCAACCATTCTAACTTAAGTAACCAACTTGACTAACACATTCCACACATTCATTCACCCAATTATAGCATGGTAAGAGGCTAATTACCTACCAAAACTAGAAACACTCCTGAAATTAAATCAATCATGCAAGTTCTCCACGTAAAGAAATGCAAACCGATGTTGGAGTGCCTCCGAACTAGCACGTCTTGCACATCTTATCAATTAGACGGTTGCCCATGATAATTACAAAAGCAAAAGTGTGAAAAAGATAAAAACATGTGAAAGCAAAAGTGTGAAAAAGATAAAACAAAAGACTAACAACAACTTAACACAAGATAACTAAAAGAAACATAAGAAAGAAGAAATAATACATGAAAGGAAATAAGACATCACGAACACAATATCACATTACACTATTCATAAGAAAAAGAACAAAGATACAAAACACACACAAAACAATAAAACGACTAGATTAGTAGTTCTTGACTTTTCCTAATAACCTAAGAGTTCCCTGGCAACGACACTAAAAACTTAATGCATGTGAGATCGAGCTTTAAATTTATAATTTTTGTCCACTAGCTTCTTACCCTAGAAATGGCAAGTGTATCAATGCTAAGCTCATAGTATAGTGGCTCGATCGTATTCTAGGGGCACCTTAGGTCTATCGTTATTTAACTACAATCTAGTTAAATAGAAAGATTGGTTGAAGAACTAACTAACCTAACTAAAAAAAACAATTAACTAAGCACTTGATGGGTTGCTATAGATGAGATAGTTGTCTACAGTCGAATCCTCCTAGCAGTAGGATAGGAACGTGGTTGATGAAATCCTAGCTTGTTGAGGTGCATAGGTCATTAAGGAGGTATCAGTGCACCGGTCATGTCTCCCGATCCCCCTTCTAGCTTCATCTGCCAACCTAATGTCACCACAACCTACTTCTCCGACTAGAGGTAAGGTCTTCCTTCTCTAAATGGGTTCTACCCGTCCGCAAACTAGTCTGGTGAGTCGATGGTCAGGCACTCACCTCACTAGCATCACTAGGTTGGCTCCATAATGGAAAGAGATGGTCAATAAAAACACTCGATTTGGTATTATTTACCCTTCATATTGTAGGTGTTTTCATATGATTCTTTGATCGTCATTGTCTATATTTTTTCATTTGCATCCCAAATTCGTTCATCGGAGCATTTCACGTCATACTGAAGCTTTCCCTAGTCGAATCACGAGCCTTTCTCTCTGAGACCGTGAGAAATATCATGGCCATGACTTCTAGTTCGCAACCGCAAAGTTAGACCGTGATCTCCCTTCTCAAGCTCCCCAGCGCAATGTAGTTCCAAGATCGCGACCTCACTCTAATAATCACGACCGTGATCTCTTGACCAGTGCCCGCAAACTTGCTCACATTTCAAGAACTCTATAAATAGGGGTATCCTCCCCTTGACTAGAGTGGCTTTTGGCAGATTTCTTATACTAGAGTGAGGTCAGAAAGAGAATTTGAAGGTTGGAGAAGAAGAGGAGAAGAATAAGTCGAAAGAGCTTTAGAAGATTATTTTCCAGCACAAGAAGACCTTCTTTCTGATTTCTTCCCTTCTATTCATGTCCCTTCTTCCCCTCTTTATGGGGTAGTCCCACAAGGTATTTTGGGACTTGGTCCCCCAAAACCTAACCTATGGTTTGATATGTAATTGGATATTTTGGCTTGATATGTGGATGATTATGAACCTATTTATCTATGTCTATTTGATGATTGTTCTTTCTTTACACCAAGTAGTGTGAGATTGTCTGTATCCTATTTTCCCTACTTGCAACTTAGATGGTAGGGGAGTTATCATCCTCTTTCGTGAGATTTATGGATGAATTGTGTTTGCCTACAGTTTTTATGCTCCATCTATGATTATTATGATTTGGATTTGTCTCTCCATGTGATTTGTATGATTTCATAGCTACAGTTTGATCTAGGATATGACTGGATTCAATAGTCTTGGCATGATTGGCTTGGATGTTTGATCTAGGAGTGTGTTATGGTGGACAAGGTGATCATACCCCTGTCCATTAGGTGTCCACCTAGGCAATGCTAGGGCGTCCAGTGCGTGACCATCGACCTAACAGCCAAGTGTGTAGATGGGTAGAACCCATTTAGAGAAGATAAGTTATATCCATGCATCGTGAAGCTATTTGTAGTGATATTGGGTTAGCGGATCGGTATAGGAGGTGGATTGGTTGCCTGACCATTGAGCCAATCCCCATATTAGCGATCTCCTCACCTCGATTACCATGGATCGTCCTTCTATCCCCTACATTTAGGGATAGGGAGGCACCCCAAGTATCTCTTATCTCCTATCGTCCTCCCGTTCATTAATCTCCAACTGTCCACTCGAGTCGACTAGATAACAGTCAAGTAAAAATAGCCTAGGATACTGTGACTCGTGAAATACGACCTTGGTCAGCCGTTCCACTAGCAACACCATCTTGAGTTATTCTTGGCTCAAGATGGGGTAGTAAGTACAAGCACTGTGCATCTAAATTATGATGAGTACAAAAGAGCTATCAATAAATTGGTGCCGTTGTCAGGGGATCAATCAAGAAACTGGAAGTCACAGGCGCGATCTTTGATGCGGGCTTAGGTGCAAACAACTGCGGAATAGACTGCAACACCTTTTCTTTTTCTTGTGCTAGGGTTCTTAGAGATCGCGATCGTGAACTAGTGCGCAACCCGCGATCGTTTTGCCGTTAGATGATATCTTAGTATTGATCTTAGTGCTCCTTGACTGCGAACTTTTGTTTGGCCCTGTTTTGCTACACATGAGCCCTCTTTTTTGCCAAGATTGCTTGTATTCTCCAATGACACCTAAAAGACCATGGAAATGCAAAAGGAAGCAGTTATCGGATACAACGGAGAATCAAATGAACTAATGCTTAATATGGCATGAAAACATCTAAGAAATGAAGGCAAAACAACACAGTTTTGGTGTTATCAAGGAGACTATGCTAACCCCACGAGGGATTAGAACCCACTAATGCCTCCAAAATCGAGCTCTTATGCAATTATCTTCCTTTAGATATTTGCGCCAGGAGCGTCTTAGGCTCGGACAAGACCCGCCATCATTGTTTAACTAGCAAGGCTTTATTGAAAGCCCCGAAGTCCTTGAACCCTAGGCCTCCAAGGCACTTATTATGGGACAAACTTTTCCATGAGAGCTAGTGAATAGGACGATCACAATTTTTCGATGAGCCCCACCAAAATCTGGCTACATGACTGTTCAAATGTTTACAAGTCTCCTTAGGAAAGTTGAAGCAGGACGTACCATGAACTAGAACATTTGTGACGGCTGTACGAATAGAATATCCTTAATTTCTCTTGATAGGGTGCATTGTTTCCACCCTTGAAGTTCTTATGAGTTCATCTTCAAAAACATGAAAAATATCTTTCTTTGATATGGAAATGATCGAGGGAAGACCTAGATAGACATCTTGAGCACGAAAGCCCCAACCCCTAATTCAACACCCAAATTAGACGCAATAAGAGGAGGGGTATTGCTCCTAAAAAATACCACAGACTTGCCTAAATTCACTCATTTTCAACTTAAACTACCATAGACGTGGAGGAGCGAGAGGAAAGTCAAACATAACTTTGGAGATGTAGCTAAAACAAGTAGGAGTCATCAACAAAGAACAAATGAGACACCATAGGACAGGAAGCGTGAATGTGAATTCCCTTTAAAAACCTCATGTTTATCGCCGGTGATATCTACCCAAAAAGACCTTCGGAATATATAACAATGAGTAACGGTGAAAGAGGATCACCCTGTTTGAGACTCCTTGAAGGTCAAAAGTAGTCTGAAGAAACTTCAATCACCAGGACGGAGCAAGATATCATGAAAACATATTCCTTAGTACATAAAATAAATTGATGATGCAATCCCAGCAAAAAGCAAATCTCATTCCATTGTTTACTTTAGGGGCCAAGTCTTGATATGATTTGAATCATACTATTTGGGGACAACGGGAAATCATAGGAGTCTGGTTTGTAACTTTATTCTTTACCAGATTAAATTAGAGTTAGACAACATGGAGAAGTACTATAAATAATTATCATACTACTCTGCAATTTGTATCTCCTCAAAATATAGTCGGACTGACTCTCTCCTGCCTGTAGACTAGTTAACACACATCGTATTAGTGAACCACGTAAGTCCGTGTGTCTTGTTTTTTATTTTCTTCCTTAGTCGATCTTCCGATTTTCCGATCCGTAAAAACAGTCACAACACCAAATAGGACACTTAGGTAAGAGATATACATTCTATGATTGTAACCGGATAATGTAACTTTTGCAATGAGCTTAATAGAATGCGCCAGAAGGGTCTTCCCCCCTGTTCTTGATTGACCACAGATGACACCATATTTAAGGTGCAGTTTTGGAGTTGTGATTAACCACTTGTTGCGGTCAACCTGCTCCCTAGTGATACCAACTTCTGCGAAAGTGGTGGTTGCGAACACCTTTGACCATGCTTCACTATACACTGATACAAGACAGCAGTCACACAACCCCCACTTGCATTGTGCATTCAGTAATATTCTCCCTGTACCTCTCCTACTTTCGCTACCTCTGGCCGCCAGAGAAAAGCCTGGTGAAGAAATTCCCAAGAGGGTTGGTGCTGCTGCCTCCACCATTCGCAGCGGAGTTCTGCAAGCAGGCCACATGAGCGTATCGCCCCAATTTGTCGACCTGGCGTGCCTCTCCCCTCGTGTCTTTCCTGCAGATCTTGCACGTCTTGTCCACCCACCCTTCCTCCACGTACTCCCCTTCCACTGCAAACCCAATTTCGTCAATCAAGGAAAGCTTCACGAATCTAAGTAACATATTCTCACCAGCAAGCAAAAAAACGTTAATTACCCTCGACGTAGGATTTGAAGAAGTCCTTGTACGTCCCTCCAATTTTCCTCCTCAGCGCTCCATACTGCGCACATAACAGGAAGAAAGTTGTTGAATTGGTTTGATGTTAAGCATATAGTATGATTCTTGAAGGAAGCAATTACCTGTTCGCGGCTCATCCTGCCGCCGGACTGGGTGCTCTCCCTCGCCTTGTCGAGCAGCTCGGCGTCCTTGGCGGATCGAACCTGAGCGAAATCGAGGGCATCCGTGACTGACGTGAACAGAGATTGCTTGCTAGCCTTCTTCTTCTTTCCCTTCTCCGATTCTTCTTCCGTCGTTTCCCCGTCTGACGATTTTGCCGCAGCTAATCTCACAACTGGAAGCCGCCGGTAGTTGCGATTCAAGGACGATGAAGAAGACGACGACGAGGAGGAAGAGGAAGGAGTGACGGGAAGTGTGGCGCTTCTTACGATGGACATCATGATTTGCTCTGTCCTTGTGAATGATTTCCTGACGCGGGATTGAATTTCACAAACCCAGGCGTTTATATACAAAAATGACGCAAATTGATGAAGCAGGCGAAGGGAATAAGTACTACTATCAGTTGTGGACGGAGGCCGCCCATTTTTTCTCTTCGCCCAACTGCGCTGGGCCGGTGGCGTGGCTGCGTTTGCTCTGCAAACCACAGCCACTAGACGTATCTGGTGGTCACTGGATAAACTACGTGGTCTTTTCCCAAACGATCGCCAAACTTCCTCTTATAATGGGCGTTAAACTGTATGTTTGTACCCAGGAGGTCCTGGGTTCGATTCTTGGCAGCCGGATTCGATTCTTGATAGCTGCCACTTCGAGCAGAGCTATAAATTCGTATTAAATGTTTTTTTAAGATTTGCCAGGTATATATGCGGCTGGGGGGTTTGCCATCCAAAATGGATTTCTCCTCGTATAAAAAAATATACATTTAAACAAGTTAAAACTAGCCGACTTGAAAATGGCAATGTTTCAGAAATCCTACGCTAACAATCGAACCGAAAATATCTTGATACCGAACTCAAACTTGTAGGGTATTTAAATGGTAAGAAACCATTGATCCACGGTTAAACCACTAACTAGAAAAGTAGTCCGTGCTACGCGACGGGTTTGAATAAACAATATGTGAATTTATGATGCAACATTAACGAAGAATAAAAGTAGTCAATAAATCTTAAGGAAAAGAACTCCATGACATGATAGCTTTTACCGTGTTGAAAATATTAAATAATTTAATTTGACCATATTGAATGAAGATAAGAAAAAACAAAGTGAACTAAATGATAGAGGCTAGGAAAAACCATCTGCCAAATTTAAAAGGCTTTTTAACATAATAACAAATAAGGGTGGACCATAGATAATTAGATATACTAATTAGTATTGCACTACTTAAAAAGTAGCGAAACTGCTAAGGGTAAACGCCTAATGGGGGCTTCACGTAACCTTCAAGTAAAAGTAATATGGCCGGGCTCAGCTATCAGTTACAGTACAAGGAATAAATTTATCAATCTTCATTGACAAAAATTATCATGAACGCATTACGACAAATGCAACAGATATAGAAGAGGGAGAATTTTAGAAGTATGTCAAAACATAAAGAGGTCGGTCATATGTTCATAAAATGATCAACATAGTGCATGGAGATCAACTATTGCATCACGTCCAAAAGGGAACCTTTGAAACTTGAATCATCATCTTTGCATCTCTGTGTTTTCCCCTTATCCAGGGGAAAGTGATTTATAAATTGGGAAGGGGGACAACACAAAACGAATGTACTTGAATTAACAAATAAGTCTACATAGCATGAGCAGAGCTTCTTAATGGTCGTGCAAAAGCCTGCAGTAACTTCTGCAATTTAACAATTAACGTTGAACAAGTCATTCAAAAGGCCATTTTATAGAACCATAGCTCTAATTTGACAGTGTGAGCAAGAAGAGTGTATACCTTTTTGATGGAAAAGAGATGCGCGCGAGCATAAATGTTTTTTTTAAGTGAATGGAAAAGCATACCAATAAAAGATTCACGATAAAGCTGCTAGAATGACCTAAGCGAATCATCAACCGATATGTTAGTTCTTGCTCAATCCTTTTCATGTAGTATAAGTAACTCAAAACTGAAATGGAAAATGGAAGTGAATGCTTCGGAACTCTTCACTCTTCAGATGATTGTATTTGTAATCCCCTTCGTTGTCTTGCTGAGATAGCACATCCACTGTAAGCACAAGTATTAAAGGTATAGTAACTGATAAACTTTCCACTCAAAGAACATGTGACCAAAAGAGAGCAAAAGCGATCAATCCAATACATCAACTCTAGAAACTGCAGTACTAATATGTTTCAGAATCTTCACTTGTAGTAAATAAGACAATGTGACTCATAAGAAACAGATCCGATATACTAACTTCATTAGAAGCATATGCGTAGAGTAGATAAGTAACGATTGCGATAAACTCTCAGAGAGTTGTGCAACTTGTGGGAAAACAGATCTAATGTACTAACTTCATTAGAAGCATACGCACTACGTCATAACCAAAACAATCATGACATATAAAGATCACAAACTGTACTCCTGCACTCAAACAGTGATCTATGCAGAAGACAACCCAGAGTTCAAACTTTTACATGGATTTGACTCTGGCTAAGTAATCATGCAACGCAACAACACATAGAGTTTAAACTGGAGGAATTATACAGTGAGCTAGAAGGCAATTCCCAACGGCCCCAGTTCGGCATGAATTTAATCAATTTATACTTACAACTGTGAGTTTAGAAACCTTCATCACATAATAGAATTTCTTAGGTAAAGATCTTTGAACTTTCATAAAACGTGACTCAAAAGATGCTAAAATTATAGTTTTTCCAAAGTGACAATCAAATTGGAAAAATCCAAATGTCATCTTCTTGCTGTAGATAATCGAACTGGCAATCAAATTGTACTATCCCCATCCTTCCCAACGAATCTCATATTTAGTCATTAACAAGGAGCCATGATAGTGATGATGATTTACCAGAAGAAAGGAGTTGCTTGACAACAGCTAAGAAGAAGTTCTCTGTTCTGGAACTGAAGAACAAAACGAAGGAAGAAGAACAGAGCAAAACGACAGCGTTCAAGACAAGGAAGATGGAGCTGAGCGAAACGATGACGTGCAGAATTAGTGGCACACAAAATGCAACACTTCATCAACGGACTGCCTTTCATAATTTACTGTAGTTAGGCATACGTGTACAGCTTTGATATATACTGCTGTTAGCCGTTAAGTTACAGTAATTAGTGTAAATACTTGTATATATACTGCTGTTTCATCAATGGAAAAGCTCAGAGAGCAAATTCCCCAGATCTGGACTTTCTTCTCATGGTATCAGAGTCTGGTTGCTCTCACCAGCGCTAGGGTTTTGTCCCCTGTCCATTTCTCTTCTCATTTTCTTCTTAAAATCTACCTCTTCACGCAGTCATGGGTGATGAATCATCCGCAGGAAAATCCACACAAACTTCTTCTGTTTCTGCAAATCCCACTTATGAGGATCCTTACCTCAATCCATACTATCTTCCGCCGCAAGATGGAGCACTGTCTACCATCATCTCAGTGAAGCTCGTCGACGACAACTACCACACATGGAGTCAGGTGATGCTTGTTGCTCTTGCAACCAAAAACAAGATTGGGTTCATCAATGGAACCATCTCTACCCCTCAGGTAACAGAACCCACTTACCAGTCTTTTCTTCATTGCAATGGTACTATTCATTGCTGGATTTACAATTCCTTAGCAGAAGATATAGCAAATAGTGTCATGGGTTTGGAAACTGCTCGAGCTGTTTGGGATAATCTGAAAAACAGACTCAGTCAAGAGGACAACATTAGGTTTTATGATTTGCAAGGGGATTTGGCTAAATGTGTTCAAGGAGAACAATCTGTGAGCCAATACTTTACCAATGCAACTGTTCTGTGGGAAGAATACAAGAAGTATCGCCCAATACCCACTTGCCCTTGTAATAGTCCATATGAAACAATGAAACGCTACCAGGATAATGATTTTGTGATCAAGTTTATGCAAGGCCTGAATGATATGTATCAGTCAGCTAGAACCCAGGTCCTCATGAACTCTAGTCTGCCACCCATTGATGTTGTTTTCAAGCAAATCTTGCAATTGGAACGTCAAATGAAAAGTGTTCATAAGACCAAGGGAGTGAAATTGGTTGCTTTGGCAGTTGGTGGACCACAGAATCCCAATTCCAACAATAGGGATTACAAGGATGGAAAGAAATTTTGTAGGTACTGTAAAAACGAAAACCACATCATTAGTGAGTGCTACAGATTGAAGAACAAGAAAAACAGGGAAGCTGGAGGTTCAGGCTTTGCTGGTTCTGTTGAAACTGGAACAGATTCAGACTCTAGCTTATTGGGAGGAGCACCTGCAACTCATGAAAGTTCAAGCAGGGTCAATTCATCAGGGCTGGCCAGTTTACAACTTACCAATGATCAGCTGGAGAGGTGGAGAGTACTCCTACTTGGTTCTCCACCATCATCTCACTCACCACCAACCTCTCCATCGATTAAGCATGCTGCCAATGCTGCAATTACCTCTCAGCAACAACCTTCACACTCTGGAACCACTCAATACCATCATGTTTATCTACCATCCAGTTCAGGTACAACTGTTCTCTCCACTCTTTTGGCCAGAAAGATAGAACCATTATGGGTTCTTGATACTGGTACTACAGATCATATAGTGTGTGATCTGAAGTACTACTTGAAATATATACAGTTGCAGGGTGTCTATGTTAACTTGCCAAATGGCAACAAGGTTCAAGCCACACACATAGGGATAGTTAGACTTCCCTGTGGACTCTTTCTCTCACAAGTTCTATTTGTACCTAGCTTTAGTTACAACCTTGTTTCAGTCAGCAAGCTTACCAAAAACAACCCCATCTCACTTCTTTTTAAATCCTCTTTCTGTGTCATCCAGGACCTTATTACACAGAGGAGGATTGGTTTAGCCCAAGTGGATAAGGGCCTTTACTTGTTCAATGACACCAAATTCTCTACTGAAGGTTGTCATTCCACCACTCCAAAGTGTCTTGCTGCCACACACCTCAACTTCCAGCCTCAAAGTTTTGATCTTTAGCATGCCAGATTGGGCCATCCCTACATTTCTAGAATAGAAACTATACATAAACAAAAACCCTGATGTATTAGTTTCTAAACTTCTTCATTGTGATGTTTGTCATCTGTCTAAACAGAAAAGAACTCCATTTCCAGTTAGCACTTCTGTTCATCCTACTTTATTTGGATTGCTTCATGTAGACATTTGGGGCCCTTTAAGTACACCTTCTTACAATGGTTTTAATTACTTTTTGACCATTGTTGATGACCTAAGTAGATGTGTGTGGACCTATTTGATGAAATCTAAGGATGAGTCTAGACTGCTGTTGCAGTCATTCTGCATTATGGTGAAAAACTAGTTCAACAAGAATGTCCAAATCATAAGAACAGACCAAGGGATGGAATTCCATATGAATGATTTTTATAGAGATCATGGGATTGAGCATCGAATGAGTGTTGCTTATACCCCATAGCAAAATGGGAGAGTGGAAGGAAGCATCAGCATCTCTTGAATGTGGCAAGAGCTCTTAAGTTCCAGTCTGGTCTTCCTCTCACTTATTGGAGTGAATTTGTTCTTCATGCTGCCTTTTTGATCAACAGAATCCCTACTCCTGTCTTAAAAAACCTGAGCCCTTATGA